AACTACTAAACACACCTTTGAGAGATCACCAAGAAAATTCAAGTGAATATGGCACTAAATATATGAAAATGATTCGATTCTAGCCATATAATAGGGGTATAAAATAGTACTTTCTATGTGTCATCACCACAATCCAACTTTGCATGTCAATGATCCAAATGATTCAACAAGCTGTGCATTTTGACTGCCACTGATTCTTTATAAGATTTTGGAACGAGATTCAAAGGTTACCTAAGAATGTTCCCAACTGTGACTTGGCCCTAGAGAAACTCATAGGCATAGTGAGCAGAGGAATGGATAAGAATACCACACATCTAAATATAGAAGACACAATGGCGCACTTTGATTAAATAGTCTCCAAATTGAGAAACTGGTCTAGGAGGTATGCTCCTAGGATAGTCAAATCAGCTTAAAGCAATGATGATCATTACCTAGCATTACAAATAGAAATAAAGGATTTATTAAAGCAACTTTTTTCTTTAGATAAGGGTGATATAGGTTTACATTTTGTGGCTCACTCATCACCATTATGGCGTAGCATTTGGCGATCAGCCTCCAGGGACTCACGGACATCTCTGTCGCCGTCGGTTCCTTCTAGCTCACCAGGGACGTCATCTTCTACCAAGGGATGTTGATGCAGGCTGGCGAATACGAGTGGATTGAGGGCACTCGCTTCCTCTTGCTGAGAGTGATGAGGAGGATGTTAATGATGCTGATGAGTCCTCAGAGGATGAGTTGTCCTCGAGGAGCCTCTTTCCCCACTGGTGGATCTGCCTCCATGACGGAGATTGGAGCAGCTTCCACCAGGCGTAGTACTCTAATCGTATGAACCAGTTCGATGCCCGTTTGGACCAGCTCCAGACCCTACTGATAACGATGTATTTGCACATGTTTGCACCCTTATTTCTTATCCGTTTGCGGCTTGTAGTAGTGTATCTTTAGCCTATTTATGCTGGGTTTTGCTCTTTTGTCATATTTCAGGTCCCAGACGTCGAAGGAAGGGCTAGGCACGAGTTTCGAGGAGTTTGGAGGTCATTCGGTGAAGCTGGGACAAAACACGACCAAACTATTCCAGAAGCACAACCGTGTTCACTAAGGGGCACGCCAGTGCTTTTTAGTGTGCAATCTGAATCGATGCAAGGAGAAAACACGGGCGCCATTCACAGAAAACACGGCTGTGTCACTCCTAGGACACTCCCGTGTTTTACTCGACGCGAGCATGTACTTGTCCACGTGAGGACAGAACACGGGCGAACAAAGTTAAACACGGCCGTGTCCTCGATAGTGTTTTGGCTAGTATTGGGTTAAACTGGCAGATTCGAGCCAAAGGAAAGAGACACGAATTTTCAGAGCAAAACAGAGTCATAGAGAGAAAAAGTGCGAAGAACAAACCTTATGATTGATTTTGGAGCTGGGTTTCATCAATCAAGCTTGGATTTTGTCCTTGGAGTGAAGATCATCATCCTAGAGAAGATTCTTCCAATCATTATGAGTATGACTGCTTTGTATTTTGTTTTCCTCTCTCTCTCTCTCTCTGGAGTAAAACTCTCTCTCACTTGGGTATGAAGAACCCTAGTTCCATGTGTTAGGGATCTTGATTGTAATGACGTTTGGATTGATATACTGCTTGATTATAATTGATTGAAGTGTGTTTATTCAGTCCATTGAAGTCTGATCAACTTTTCTTGATTTCTATTGCAACCTGAGATAGATGAACATCACTACCAGCCACTCAGACAAGGATGAGGTTCAGAGTAGTACCTTACCTTTGTTTTTCTTATGTTGACAAGACTAAGCACTTGCTCCTTGTCTGTTTTGTATCCCCTAAACAATGTGGATATGTAAGAAAAACAAAGGTAATGTGTGGGGTGGAGTTGAGTTGACTATGCTTGCACTTATGATGCATTAGTTTCAAAAATTGGTGACCGTTTTGGTATTTGTACAATTACGACTTTCATTACCCAATGGAACCCGAATTTGCACAAGAAACCCAGCAACTCAAGAGGAGCACATAGATTGAGTTTTAGTACAAACGTGTTTTGTCAATTAAGGTTGTATGTTTCTTATGAATCATAAATCTCCATTTTTTTCTGTCAATGTGAGATTTGTCTATGACGTTGCACATCTCTTCTCGTCCATGATTTCCTCTCTTATAATTTTCCCCCATTCCTCTCCTCTATTTTCTATTAAATCGTAACAAAAAAAAAAAAGAGAATAGAAAGACAAAGCGGGATGAACATAATTGAGTCACATACTGCCATTATTATTTATGTATATAGATAGCGGTTCGAAAAAGATAGTCAAAGTACACCTGGTGTATATGCTGTTATCAAACATTTAAGCTAGCTATAAAAACACTTTAATGTTAGGCTCATAAAGTGTTTAGCCCGACATTAACTTTTGAATTACAAAAATACTTTAGAAATACGGGCACTTAACCCAGTTGTGAACAAAAATGAAACAAAAGTAGTCAAATACTTGACTTGCGGAAGGGAGCAAATGCGTCGTCAGTCAGGTGGGCAAATTGGGTTCACTGTGTACTGGCAATTCAATATACAGCGAAAGGGACACCTGGCCCTCAACTCCACTTGAAAAAACAACTGAACAAAGAACCATCATCATATTGATAATTTTTAGTGAAGGTCACGTCATTTCATTGTCGATGACATGGTGCTGGTGGTGGTGGATATAATTAGTACAAAACAACCCAAACCAACAAAATTATAATAAGTCCAAAAGAAAATGAATGAATAAACAAACAGACAAAATGAATTGTTTTTAGAGGGATGGTGGAGATTGGGATCTTTGTTTTTTTTCAAGAGTCGACCTATCCCATCTGTTTTGACCTATATACCAAAAAAAAAAAAAACACCATAAAGGAATAAAGCCGCCATAGATATTCAGTTTTGATTTGTGCAAATGAACAGCAAGGAATTTAGTCGCGGCAAAGAGAGACACGGGGGCGAGTGAATATTTGTTGACTGTAACTTGATGATCCAAATGGGATCTATCATCGGGTTAAGTTTTTACCGATTTTATTTGTTTATTGTTGGACACAAGGTTGGAATTCGTAGAGAGATATTCTCATTCTCACATTGTCACTAGATCAATTTTTAGAAGTTTATCTTCAATTTCAATTGAAGTTTTACAAAAATATAATATTTTCCGTTAATTAGGGATCTAATTAAGCTCCCTTAGCAAAACCAGAGCCGCGAAAACAAATCTTGGGCAATCATCCACAAGTACAATAGGATGATTGGAAGTGACGGAGTGGTTGATTTTTTTATGGGTTAAATTACACATTTGGTCACTCAAATTATACAAATTTTTTATGTTTGTCATTCGGATTATTTTTCTTTCTTATTTATCACTAACTTTACGAATCGTTTCACCGTTAGTCACCAGCTGTTATACTCCTTTAAATTTGTTTTACTTGGCAATCAACTATAAAGTTAAACTGTTGATTACATGACGTGGAAACAAAAAAAATTAATTTTGTATTATTTATTTTTGACCTCATCATTACACATACTTTGTCTAGAAGATTTATCATATTAATTATTTAATAAAAAATTATCAAATTACAAAAATTAATTATCGGCGGGAGGAAGAAATTGCAGAGGATGCGGACCCTCGATTTAACCCTATTCCAATTCTTCTTCATCTTCGCTTCGTCGGATCTTCACAGCGACGACGACATGAATTCATTCCCCGAGGGTGGACCAAGCCCGTGAGGGTGGCGAGTAGGAGAAATGTGGCTCGACGAAGGAGTCGAATTGCGAGCCAACGGTGGATGGCCGGGAGGTGGAGAAGTGGTATCCGGGGATTGTGAGCTCGGCCGCGACAAGGAGCCTTAGCGGTGCTGAAGAAGTTGAGGATTAGGGCGTGGACGACGGCGGATTGGGATATTATTTGTTCAAGGCCGTGGTGAAGGTGAGGGATGTTAGCGTCGAGCGCGAGATGCCTACTACTTCTTCTCCTTTTCGTTCCTTCAATAACCTGAAACCCTAAATCGACCTTCTGGCAGAACAAGTGAAAGATGGAGAGAAAAGAACGAAAATGCTAATAAGGCTAACAGACTAAAAGCCACTTCACGTTATATGAAAGAAAATGTTATGAAGAGTTGGTCTTTGAGAATCAGGACCACTCCTTTTCTTTACTTTCTCTTTTATACAGTCACTTGATCACTGTGACGCGTTTTACCCTTAAAACAGATACTTTCTTCCCTCTGCTGTTGAGTTCCTTCCCATGTGTAAGCAACTCGACCAAACCCTAAAGATCAAGTAAAGCAGAACACACTGAAGAATAAATTGCAGAAAATTAAGAACACATGCACTTTTACGTGGTTTCCAGTATTGGGTGAAAGAGGTTCCCAATACTGTCTACTCCACGGACGGAAAATCACGGTTTGTGATTTCCGACGATTCACTAGGATTTTTAGTTTGATGCTTCGACGAGATCACACTGCCTATCCAGGAAGTCTGATAAAAAACCTAGCTCTCTCACCACAACTCAGCTATCCAGCTCCTCTCTAGTATAGGCATACTCATGTTCTATACTCGAGTCCCTTTTCTTATCAATCTCAACTAACAATCTCCTTTGTTCTCTCGTGAAATTGATCTCCAGAAAAGTGACTTCTTCTGCTTAATTCCTTTCTTTCTTATACTCGTTCCGCTAGTAGCCGTTGCTTCAGAGTTTCCTTTTCGGTGATCTTCTTGATATGGTAGTCTTTTGAATAACTTCCTTGTTTTGATTACAGTATCATTCCAACAGTCTCATCTCGCATGACCAGCTCTTTTCTTTGACAAGCTGCCCTCAACATTCTCCCCCTCAGCTTGTCAATGATTCCAACCTGTTGCACTTGGCGTTCCTGCACTCATTAGCACACTCATTACGTGCAGTCTGCTCCAAACATTGGATGAGAGGAAAACAAAACTTTACTTGGAGAATGAGAAGACACTAGGAGGAGTAATTTTATTCCAGAACATATGCTGTTATACAACGATATCAAAATCTTATTAACCACGACACCTAAGCTCTTAGACGGAGCTTTATTTAAGAACCGACACTAATGCTCAGGACAACAGAGCTTTATTCAAACGCACACTCATTCAGACACTTAGACCACTGACTCTTACTTAGAAGACTAGAAGACAATTTACTCCCCCTCGCAAAAACAACCTAAGACTCCTTCAAAACGGATAAGTAGGTGAGGACAAATAATCTGAGATGTCAGACATAGCCTCCTCTGCTTCTTCTTCTTCAGGTATTCCTTCCACCAGATCAGCAAGACTCAGACCTTCCTAAGGTCCAACTTCAGCCACTTCAGTAGGAACGACAGAGCCAATAGTCACTCCCCCTGAAGCATTGACCCAAGGTCGACGACGACCTACAAGAGCATTGACCTTACGAAGAACGAACTGATCCCAAAGAGAATCGATGAGATTAACACGAGCAACCTTGTAGCGCATATCAAGATCCAAGGAGCGCATGAGTAGTGTGATTTGAGGAGCAAAAGGCAGCTCGTCGTAGAAATAGTCATCACAGTACTGCATCATGTGACCAATCATAAGATGGGGATAGCTGATGTGTCTGTTCTCTTTGGCCCTGGCAAGAATCCACATATCCATGGGATAGATGCGAGTGAGTCCATGAGAGCGAGGAAGAAATACTCGAGTAATGTAGAAATGCAACACCTTTAGATCATCCGGAAGACACCTTGCATCTAATCTGGCAGGATGGTAGGCTCCTATATCCCTGGCATATAGGTGCATAGCCTCATTCTCATTGAATTCTACAGTAGGAAAGTCAGCTTCATCCACAACTTCGGCTCCTTGGATAGGATACCCAAGCAGATACGACAGCAAGTCAACTGAGATGGTGAGTAGATAGTTGTATACTGTGGTCGTGAAGGTGGGAGGATCCGTGTTAAAGCAGGGTCTCATGTTTGCATAAAACATTCGAACTGCTTCAGGACGAAAGCCATAGCACTGATCGAGAGGCAGATCAGACCACCGACAACATTGATTAGCCTAGGAATATTCATATCATACCTATTGAATCGGGCTAAATCAAGATACACAGAAGGGCACAGAGGACGATCTTGAAATTTGACAAGATAACGATTATAGTCTTCAGGACGGTTGAACCCTCTGCCAGTAAATATGGATGCTTGAGCAAGATGCAGAGGCACGTGTGGGTTGAGTCCAGCCATGATGAACAATAGCTAGCTTGAGATTTTGGAACACGAACAGGAAGAATGATTCCACCCCAGAGAGGATGTAAAATTTATAGAGTAGGAGGGTTGTGGGTTTGAGGAGAAGAACGAGGAAAGTCTAGAGCGAATAAGGAAGGATACCTCTAATCACAACAAGGAAAAATTTGCAGTATTGGTACCGAGAGTATAATGAGAGAATATAAGGAAAGACTTGTCCCTAAAGAATAGATGATTAGCCTCAAGGACTAAGTAAGCACATTAATGCTCAGAGTGAAGAGTGATCTTGAATTTCCTTAATATCTTTAAGAGAGAAAATTCCCAGCTCTCGACGGATGGTAAGGAAAGATTCTGACCCTGAAGGTTTTGTGAATATGTCTGCCCATTGAAAAGAGGTAGGCACAAATTCAAGATGGATCTTCCCTTCCTAAACCAGATCCCGAATAAAATGAAAACGAATCTCGATGTGCTTAGTTTTAGAGTGTTGCACAGGGTTTTTTAACATGTTGATTGCATTTGTATTTGCACACAACACAGGGAGAGACTTAAACTCTAAACCATAGTCAAGCAATTGATATTTCATCCACAAAAGCTAAGTGCAACAACTCCCAGCAACAATATATTCAGCTTCTCCCGTAGACAGAGCTACTGAATTTTGCTTTTTGCTAATCCAAGCTACAAGAGATATTCTCATAAAGTGACAAGTACCAGAGGTACTTTTCCTATCAACTATACATCCAACATAATTAGAATCGGAGTAGCCAACTAACTCAAGACTGGATTCACAAGAGTACCACAAACCAAAAGAAGAAGTGCCATCCAAGTAACGAAAAATTCGTTTTACCGCGGACAAATGACTCTCCTTTGGAGCACTTTGGAATCGAGCACACACACAGACACTGTATAGAATGTCAGGTCTACTAGAGGTGACATACAGAAGAGACCCTATTAACCCTCTGTACAATTTTTCAATTACAGCCATTCCAGACTCATCTCTATTAATTTTTAAGGTAGAAGCCATAGGAGTGACTGCAGTTTTTAGGTTTCCAAAGTTAAACCAGTTTATCATATTCAAAATGTACTTAGTCTGACAAATGAAGATCCCTTTTGGAGTCTGAGTGATCTGTAAACCTAAGATAAAATTCAACTCTCCCATGATACTCATTTCAAAGTTGGTTTTCATAAGTTCTTCAAAAGCTAGACACATGTCCTTACTAGTTCCACCAAAGATTATTTTATCTACATACACTTGAACAAGAAGAAGTGATTTGACTCTCGTTTGGTAAAAAGTGTTTTATCAACCGCTCCTCTCTGAAAGCCATTGTCTAAGAGAAGTGAGCTTAATTTATCATATTAAGCTCTAGGAGCCTGTTTTAAACCATATAGAGCCTTTTTAAGTTTATATACATGATTAGGAAACAAGTGATCCTCAAAGCCAGGTGGTTGAGACACATATACTTCTTCTTTCAACTCACCATTTAAAAATGCACTCTTAACATCCATTTGGTATAGTTTAAATTTGTTAGAACTAGCAAAAGCACATAACATCCTAACAGCTTCTAATCGAGCCACAGGCGCGAAGGTTTCATCAAAATCTATACCTTCTTCTTGACTATACCCTTGTGCAACTAACCTAGCTCAATTTCTGGTTATGACACCAACTTCATCAGTTTTATTTTTATATATCCATTTAGTCCCGATGATTACTCTGTTTTCAGGTTTTGGAACAAGTTCCCACACATTAGCTTAAACTTATGCATTTCGTCAAACATAGCAGCAGTCCAAAATTCATCAAGAAGAGCTTCTTGAACATTTCTAGGTTCTAGTTGAGAAACAAAAGCTAGATGTGAGGGAGTGTCCTTTGACAGAGTAATCATACCTTTGTCCATAGGTCCGATTATTTGAGTTGGAGGGTGTCTTCTAGAGATATAGGTTGGAGGATGAAGATCGGATGAGCCTGGATTTGTGCTCTTTTCTGTTTCAGAAGACTTGGGATGCTGACTTTCCTCAATGGAAGATTGTTGACGCTGATTTTGCCTTTCTAGATCATCTTTCTCTACAGCTTGCTCTCCTTGACCATCATTTGAACAAACTGCTACTGGTCTCCCAAGACCAAAGTCATCATCATCAACCTCATCTGAAATCTCAATGACAGACTCATCAAATACCACATTAATGGACTCCTCAACCTTGAGGGTCCATTTATTAACAACCCTATAGGCTTTGCTTGAGCTAGAATAGCCCAAAATCACTGCCTCATCAGACATTGCATCGAATTTCCCTAAATTATCTTTAGAATTCAAAACGAAACATTTGCAACTAAAGGTTAGAAAGTGCCCTAGATTAGGTTTTCTACCTTTTCAAATTTCATAGGGCGTTTTATTTAGACCAGACCTAATCAAGGCTCTGTTGATAACATAACATGCTGTGTTAATAGCTTCTGCCCAGAAGTATTTGGGAATCCCATAATCATGCAACATGGTTCGAGCTATGTCAATTAGGGTCTTGATAAGCCGTTAATTGCACATGTTTTTACCCCTATTCTGGAGCCGTTTGAGATTGTAATTCTCGTGTTTTAGGCCGATTTCACGCTAGGTTGTGTTTGTTTGTGATATTTCAGGTCCTAGCAAGTGAATGAAGGTTTAGGAGCGAGTTCAGGGTCGATTGGATGAAGATCGGGCGCGAGGCAAGTCAAAAAGGAAGCCGCACGGGCACACAGAGAAGCCACACGGCGGTGCAAGTGACCAATTTGGTCGTGTGGGATTGTGCGAGCCTTCACACGGCCAGCCCTGAAAGTCACACGGCCGTGTGAAGTTGCACTTTGGCCGTGTGGAATTCTGCGAGGCTTCACACGGCCAGGCTGGGTGATCTACACGGCCGTGTGACCCTGGCCGTGTAGGAAGCCTGAAATCCAATTACTCGGAACGCGGCGTTTTGAAGTCACACGGGCAACTGGGTATGCCACACGGCCGTGTGGCCCTGCCCGTGTGAGTCGGGAATTTCTGGTTTTTACCCAATTTTGGGCTGCAAGTGAGAAAATTGGATTTTCAGAGCAAAAACAGAGCCCTAGAGAGAGAAAGTACGAAGAACACATCCTAGAAGCTATCTTGGAGCTGGGTTTCATCAAATCAAGCTTGGAGATCATCCTAGGAGTGGAAATCATCATTCCAGAGCACATTCTTCCCATTGATATGAGTATGAATGCTTTGTATTCTGTTTTCCCCTCTCTCTCTATGGAGTAGAACCCTTCTCTCACTTGGGTATGAAGAACCCTAGTTCTATGTGTTAGGGATTTGATTGTAATGACTTGGGATGATATTACTGCTTGGTTTTAATCGAATGATGCATGTTTATTGAGTCAATTGAAGTCTGATCAGCTTTTCCTGATTTCTGCTGACACCTGAGATAGATAGAATCTGATTAGGTTGTTAGAGCCTCATCATTCGGTAGTAGAAGATTGGCTATACGAGAGTTAGCCAGTTTACTGCTTTTTACTGGAATTCAATTCCAGTAGTGGAGTTCTGTGCTTATTGCTTCAGCTTTCTATCCCGGTGAAGACTAGTCGTCTGCCGGGTAGTTAGACTGAGAGGGCTTGGTCAGCTTAAGAGATTCCAAGCTATTGTCGGATCTTCCGCTGTCTAATCAACAGTAAATCAACACAGGGAAATTACAATTGAAACCTAACTATGGAGCTAGGGGGACTCATTCCCGAGTGACTCTTCTTTGCTTAAGAAAATCGTACCAATTCCTGCTTTCTTTCTGCTTTTGCTTAAAACAACAAACACTTAACTTAGTTGGCTAGATAATAGATACTCACGGAGTAAGCAGTAGATCTAGACCCTTGGTTGATAATAGAACTTGCCATTTTACTGCATTCCCGGACTGCGATTACACTTGATCGCAGTTTGGTGTTGTGTTTTGGCGTGTCAAGTTTTTGGCGCCGTTGCCGGGGACCCTCTAGGTTATTGGGGAAACGTGCAAATCTGTTACTCTAGCTTTTTCTTTACTGCATTTTATCATTTCCACTTGTGTGCCTTCACGGGTTGCTTCTGCTGATTGTGTGCAGGTAGTGCATGACCCGTAGCCAGTCGGGAGATCTACTACCACTAGGTCAGGAGCTTGAACGAACCTGCAGAAACTTCAAGTGGGCTCTAAAGGCACGACTGGCTGCGGAGGAGGCGCTAGGATAGCTACAGATCACTAAAGAGGAGGAGATGGCTGATCTACAAGACCATGATGTGGTCAATCCTGGGGAGCAGACCATGGGACATTACTGGACCGCCAGGGCTGCAGACATGAGGTCACCCATTCAATACCCTCACGTCCCAGCCAATAATTTTGAGGTGAGCACCTCAGTAATCACCATGTTGCGCGGTTCAATGATGTTCCGAGGCAAAGAGGGGGAGTGCCCTCGTTCACATCTCAAGCGATTCCACGAGCTCATCAATGGAATCAAGATCAATGGGGTCCCAGCAGATGCCATCCAGCTGAGGTACTTCCCATTCACCCTGGAGGGGCAGGCCAAGGAGTGGCTAGACACTCGACCTCCGGGCTCTATCACCACGTTCGCCAACCTGGCGGACAAGTTCCTCACCCGCTACCATCCTCCATCCAAGACGGCGGACCTGCAGAAGCAAATTACCCATTTTACTCAGGATGAGGATGAGACCATCAGGGATGCTTGGGAGAGAGACAACAGTCTCTTCCTGAGGTGTTCCAATCATGGTTTCAATGATGCTTTCAAGGTGGGAACCTTCTATCACGCCCTCTTTCTAGAAGATAAGCAGCTGATTGATTCGGTCTGTGGCGGGAACATGCTGACCAAAACACCGCCACAGCTGAATCAACTCTTTGAAGAGATGGCAGAGAACGGGTATGATTGGGGCACTGCTAGGAGGTCGAGGAGAGCACCAAGCCGAGGTGTACATTCTGTGGGAAACCATTCCTCTGATTTGGTGCAGGTGGTGTCGAAGCTGGTTTCAGCTATCGATCGTTCCGGGATGATTCCAGGGACCGGACATCAGCAGGCGATGCTCTGCCATTG